CCTGCTGAAAAAAAATGCAAAACCTGCACCCAAACCAAAGGGTGACGATGAGTTTTACAGGGAAAAATGAAGATTGCAGAGCCAAGTTCAGGGTAAGTGGGTATATTATGAACAGGAGATTGGAGATCTGAGGACTAGGAAGGATGACTGAAATGTATCAATTTTCCTAGTATCTAACAAATCAAATTATTAACTATGTATTCAGCAATACTGAGCTGAATTCCCGAGAGACATATAGCTTTGCTAAACGTACCATCTAAATGTGGCACATACCATTCCAACAAGGTTTCAAAAAAGAGGAAAGGAATAAATGAAATAATGCTTCGAGCAATTTTAAAGCATCAAATTAAAGTTCACTCTAAGACTCCAAAATTTCAAAAAGTTATTATTAAATCTAAGAAGCTTTAGCGTATGTTGTAGAACAGAGTTTTCATCAAGGAAACACATCAAATGCAGCCTGTACAGAATTAATCAGAAATACAAATGTACAGAAAGTGAAAGCCCCATACAGCCCACCCCTCAAACTTGGAATCAAAAGTTTAAAAAGAAGAAAAATCTAGCGATAATTACATACAAACCAACCAAAACATTGATATTTACATTAACCACCCAGGTAATTTCTTTGAAATACCGAACAGATGTATTTATGCATGCCACAATCAAAATATTGAGAATATGATAAAAATGAAAAATATGGTTGGGGTTTTACCATGAATTTTAATATTTGAGTGAGAAAATATTTGAGTAATTTGAAATATGGATGAAAGAGGGTGGTTAAATAGTAAATAGCAAGTTTCGGGTGGTATGTATGTAATTGCCCCAAAAATCTAATGAATAATAAGAATGATAATGGCAAATATAATAAGAATAAGTAAAATTACCTTAACCTATCTTCTGGGTAAATTAAGCTTTTGTTTGGCAGCTTTTGCAGCTTGGTCTCTTCACGTAGATGTCTGAGATGTGCTATTACAGCGGCTGCTTCATCAGCAGTTCCAAATTCCAAAAGCAATGCATTTTCACTAGTAAGATCAGTAACCACCTGGGGACTTCTAAAGCCATTTCTTATCAATCCATTGAGTATCTCTTCTTTACTCAACTGGTTTGGCACCTTCCCTACATATACATGACAATTTTCACCAATAGTTACACTGTTGATAACTCCTCTACTACCTATTGCTATGTCAACAAATTTTATTTTAACGAAGCCACCCCATTGTGAGGATCCTTGCATATATTTCCGTGCCTTGATAGCATCCATTAAGTTCCTGTACTCAACTAAAGCAAAATTCTTGACAGGAAGAAAAATAAATTGTTCGAGATGACCAAAGTTTTCAAACTGCTGTCTAACTGAAGTTTCAGAAGCACGAAAACCCAGAGAACCTAACCATAATAGCTTGGAAGCATAGAAAACATCCATGGCAGCAGGATCCCCATCAGTGTGCCAAATTAAATGATCAAAAGAAGTATCATGATGTGCAGTCAAAGTCTCTCTAGGAGACGGAATGCTTTGTGTGGCTACAGGACCTGACATTCCTATTTAACAGCATGGGTTTCAACAGTTGAGGCATCCATTCTGATAGTAGGGAGACTGCTAGAGATAGGAGGGACAAAAAGGTTGCTAATCGAGCCCTTTGCAGAAGATGATTTGCTTGATAGTGAATCTTCAAAATTACTACTTTCTGGCTTACTCATAGATATGGCCCTTTCTTCTTCACCAACCAAGCCTTGATTAGCTAATAGTTGAGCAGTCTTGAGTGAATCCTCTAAAAGGTGTTCAGTCTTGCGTGTCTTCAAATTTTGACTTGAACTTTCAGGAGTGATGGAATCCACAAATTGTGCCTTGCTAAGAGAGGTACCCTGAAGTTCTGAAGCATGATCCCTCCTAGATAAATCACTGACATTATCATCATAAATGGCTTTATTATAAAGCCCATAGCGATGCACATTATTTGATGAATCAGAGTTCTCTTCATCACTCAATTCATAGGTTGCATCCTTAACTAACTCTTGTGCAGACCCAAAAATCTTTTCCAAAAATGATAATATTTCTAGAGCATCACGATTGACTAACAAGTCTGCAAGCTTTTTATACCTTGCAAGTATCCAGCCCTTCAATGATGGCTCCCTGCTTGTAACCTAATGCAGCAATGATATGTAATGTAAATTTTGTAAGACCATACGTGTACAAACTAATGAAATGGCTGCAATGATAGTGATAAATGAAGAGTTTTGCCGGAAAATAATAATTTCAGTAAATAACGAAGAACATTTATAAATGTCAGAAAAGAAGATAAAAACTAAAATTAGTGTTCATTAGTAACATTAAGGTTCAAGCCAGACCATAATGATAACAATTTACCAGAGTAAAGAAAAACGTGGAGGAAAAAGCCAAGCTGAGTCAAAATAACAAAATGTTTTAGAAACAGAAAGCAATAATGTAAGTATACCACCGTTTGGTCAAACAAGACAAATAATTTGTCTCCCTAAAGCTAATTTTATTATCAGTATCCAGTTTTTTCAGAAATTTAAAATCTTAGGTATATACAGAAGAATCAAAACATAGGACTTAGGAATTGAGAAAAAAATTTGTCAAAGTATGAGAATTCTGCAAGCGGTTGCAGTAATGAACAGTATTAAGACGTGCTCGATACACAGAAATGCTCTAAGCATAGTTCCGTGGATAGCACACGCAAGGAAGAATTCAATCGAAAGAAGTGATTTAGTTTAATTTAGTTTTCAGTAGCATTTCTCGTTGAATTATTCTTTACTAGTTATAACAGCTCGAACAAAAGGAGATGATGACCATCAAGCCTTATTATTCATGGTTAATTTATTTTATGATCGGATTGAGTGAGATTACTAAACCATCAAACAACTCTATATTTATGTGCAAACTATTTATTCATCAATTAATTGAATTTTCATTTTAGCTCACATTCTTTTAGTTATTGTAATTCACCAATTAATCTCCGTCCTTTATGGAAACAGATAACTATAAAACTAGGGGAGCAACTACGAATAACAAAGGGTTTACAAAAACAAATTTGTATCACCATAGATAGAAATATGAAAGATTTTCATAAATGAATTTAAAAATACTTATAAAAGTACTAAGGGTTAAAACGATCTTAACTATTACCATTCCCATAAAACAATTTTCAGAAAAACATGGTCCGCTATCTGCGACGATGTCACCAGACAAACATTTCCCTTCATCCAACACTTCACATCCCATGCTAGGCTGAGATGCTGCAACCTTCAAAGGGCTAGTCACCTGGTCAAGAAAATACTGTCCTTGTTTATAATTGACATCAGTTCCACCGGTAGAAATGAGCTTAAAACATGCTGCAAGTAAGTTCTTAGGAAAAGAGAAGAATATGCGCAGCAAACAAAAAGCTCCGTACTTGAATAACTTGCTCAATGAAGATTCACTGTCATCGTCCCTTTCTTGCTTCAAAACATAAAAATTTTCCATGGGTCCTTGAAGCTTTAGAACTTCCCTGCTTCCGATACCATAAATCTCCTTCCCCTCGAAGCTTGAAGTGAAGAAGGTTAAAACATTTTCAAAAACTGCAGCACATATACCGTGAATTACAGATGATGTTGGGGCTTCATGAGAAGCTGTGCAGCATATATCAACCAATCCAAATATGCATGCCTTAGCAGTCTGATATGCAACACCATCAAGATCTTCACCTCTCATTAGTATAGCCAAGCTCCAATTATACATGTTGATCGAAACTGTTGCTGCGGCTTCCAAAGCAGTGGGACAGAAAGCAGCATAATGAGGAATGAGTTCAGCAACAATCCGTTGTGCGCTCATGCAACCTACAAAGCCAGCCAGTAGTAGAGTTTAAATGCAATATTCCCAATGTATTAAAATTTTGCATGATAAACATTTGCTGCTTCATGTGAGGTGAAATCATCGATGGTTCTGCTTATTTGATGTTATGTTCATATTATTCATTTCAAGCAAAATTGCTTGCTCCTAATGTAGAAACACATATTCCATGCTCAAATTTATATGTATTTAAACAAAGAGGCCTTTACAAGCCTAGCACTAAATTCCTATGTATTCACATATTAAACACCTAAACTTCAATTTTTATGTATAGACTGCCTGATTCCTATGTGCCTGTATTCGGCATAGATCACCTGGACATAATGTAAAGAATTAAACTTTAGGTACTTAATAGGTCAGGACATTAGAATTGAGTGGTAGGTATGTAAATTTCTCTTAAATAAATTATTTCTTGGAAACCACCATCTTCATACGGGTAGAATACGAGTAGCAAATGGTGGCAAGATGAACACTCAGGTTTTCTACCCAAACAGTTTCCCTCAAATTCAACTAACATATGCTAAAAGCAGCCAACGCGGGCCATTTTGTCGTCAAACCATTACCCACGCTGTTTAATTGGATGTAAAATTGAGAAGAAATTCTTTCCCATTCTTACAGTTAGAAGAAAGTGAAGTAGCTATGCTTGATTTTTTACAGCATTAGAAATAAAGCTGATCCGTGTTCTTGAAACCAGAGAGTCATCTTAAACAAAAAGATAATCTAAAACCTTAAAACCATTATATAGGGTTAGCGTCGAGATGATCATTTCCAAACCACCCTACAGATGAGTGAAGAAAATAAAGAGTGGATAGATTTGACCTCTGGAGGCGGTGATAAGAGAAAGATATGCCTGCTCAAAGTCGGCCGTGAGGCGAAGGTCCTTCCGGGAGACGCAGAACTTAATTCGCTTGTAGCACTCGTAGAGGTTTCGTATCTCCTCCTTGTTCCTCCGCCGCCGAATGATCTCCTCCTGCGATAGAGGGAAGGCCGCCATAGGCCTCTGAGAAGGCTCGGAAGAGGACTCGTAAAGCTTGCGTTTCATGCCGGTTTGCTGCTCCGCCGGAGAAGACATCTGAGAAAAGGGGCTCGTTCCCCTGCAGTTCGGTACTCCGAGTTCGGAGTTCGGCCTTTACCGGGTTTAGAGAAAAGGATCGGCGTTTAATACAATAATGCCACCCAAATCTTATCTATTTACATATCTAACATCTAAACTATTTTGTATTGACATTTACATGGTCAGCACATAATTCTTATGTATAAACAAATCTCAAATCACAAAATTCAGTTTTAATATCAACTCAAAAGCAGCATTATTATCACGAGTGTAAATACAAAAGTTTAAATGTAAGATATGAAATAAATAAGAACTGCTACGCATATAAATTTTTATTTTTTTTTTACATTAAAACTTTGATATTCTATGAGTATAAATTGCATGGTAATGTAAATTCAGTTGTTGGCATATTAATTTTTGATGTAATGTACAAGAGTGTTTATTTAAACAACACGGAATTGTGTCCAGCTTCCCATCGTCGAAGACCTCCAGTCGAACCTCATGGTTACGAAATCAGGACTGGTACAGACTTGACCCTACCCGGAAAGCTCACTGTGAAGCGGTGTTAGTCCTGACTCTGAATGTGTTTTACATATGTTCTGATGTTGAGAGGCCTCAAGTACATTAGTCTGGAGTCTTCTAAGGCTAATGGTAGTCACCAAAGTCTCTTACACGCATTTTTAGGAAAATTCAGGCTCGGACCTATTTCACCCCTGCGTTGGTCCGAGACGCCCATCGACACCAAATACCCCCATTTGAAATGCCTAAAATATTCATTTCTAAATTACAGGGTCGTATTCTAGCAATAAGCAACTTTCTGTGGCTTTCGGATCGACGAGGATCTTCCTACGGTCAAGACAAAATTAGAGTTTGGAACACCCTACCTGCAGCATGCTCTAGATGACGGTTAGAGATGATTTTACCAATGAATGGTTGATTAAAATATTCATTTTTTAAGTTACAGGACCATATTTCAGTCATACCTAATCCCCCCATAGCTTACTTATCAAAGAAACTCTTCGTCGAGCGATCTACGCAAAAATTAGGGTTTTTGAGCTAAACCGGTAGTTAGGTGCCAGCTCCGGTCGCCTAGCAGCCCAAAACCGCCTATGGGGCCTTTAAATAGATGCTTGAGAAAGTAGGCGCCAGCTTAAGGGTGCCAGGGCGTCGGACTAGAAGCCAGTCCCGGGTGGTTAGGCACCTAAAAAATCGTCAAAACAACCATTTCCTGAGCCGCAGGAAGTAAACGCCAATTCAGTTCCAAGGCGAAATTTTTCTTGATTTTGGGGTCATTTTGACCTTGGTGCACCCCCTAGGCAGCCGAAAAGGGGGATTTCCTTGGGCTTTCAGGAGGTTTTCTTTGGGGATGAGAAAAGAGGGTAATAATACCTCTTTTAGGTTTCTTTTGGAAGCTTCCTATATGAGGTGGCATGGCCCTTTTTGGGGGAAGCTTGGGTTGGCTTTGGCTTAATTCCCTTGGCTCCTCCAAAATCAAGATGTTCTGCGTTTTACTCTTCTCTAAGAGCTGAACTCATCTCCTTGCTAGAGAACTTTGGAGCATCATCTTCCTTGGAGCTAGGGTTTTCATTTGAAGGTCTGAGAAGCACTAGAGAAATGTGAGAGGGATTCCTTCCTATAACACTCTTCTCCATCTTCTTTCTCTTCTTCTTCATTTCCACAAATAAAACATCATTACTTCACTTTCTTTCTCTTCCTCCACCACTTTCCTTGAGTGTGTATGAGGTTTTCTTGAGGAAAAGTTTAGCTATCGAAAAGGGAAAGGCTTCTACACTCTTATGACAAATGAGACCTTCTTGATACTTCAAAGAAGGATTGTCAAATCTTTGTCGGAGCTTCGTTAGAACTTCGTTGGATCTCAAAACTCCGCCAAAACTTTGTCGAACTCTCCTTCTAAGGGAGAGTTATTCATCCTTTGGAGAAGTAGCCGAGCAAACCTTGTAGGAACTTTGATGAAGCTTAGACAATCAAAGAGAACGTAACGGGCAACTGTCACTAATGTGAAGCTTCTCGATCCTTCGTGATATCCCTTCCTAGAGCACTCCCTAAGTTTGGTTGTTAGAGACATTAGGTTAGGGTTTTGTTGTGTCTAGAGAAAGCTAATGCATGATTAAGAGACTTTCGTGGACTTTCCCATGCAAACTTACCCATTTCTTTCTAGACCCAAATCTGAAACATCAAGATCGTTCACTCCTGTGTTTGCATTGGCGATTTTGCTCTCGTGATGAGAAGGGAAAATCTACCATTCAAGCGTAGATAACGAAAAGTCTAAAGATTTTGATATTCCCTACTCTGTGAATGCCTTCCCACAACAAAAATCCTTCTCATCGGGCAAATGGAAGCAGCAGCCCGTTACTTTGTGGCGACGCCCGCTTAATTTTGTCAACTACCCTTAGGGTTTACCCGTGAGATCATTAAAATGAGTAAAAACTAGATATCAAGAATGGATATCTGCATATGCTTGTATGTTTGACTACATTTTACTTGTGTTACTTCAGTCTGATCGGCCTCATCGGCCCAGTCGATCGACCACTTAAGTCGAACCGGCAGCCCCGATCCGGTTGACCGACCACTTAAGTCTGGCCAATAGACCAACCACTTTGGTCCTACCAGTCGCCCTGACCCGATCGATCGATCACTTTGGTCCAGTTGGCCGCCCTGACCCGACCGACCCCATAGCACCCAATCGACCGCCCGGTCAACCAAAAAGGTCAATTGGCTAACTTCACTTGCATTTCATGTACCTTGGATGTTTTTTTGTTAATTGCTTGCATGTCTTACATATGCAACCACGTCTATTTGATCGGCCGCTCTAGTCCGATCGAGCGATCACTTTGGTTCGACTGACCATCAAGGCCCGATCAAAAAAATCACCTTCTTTGGTTCGATTAGCCGCCAAGGTTCTGATCATATAATTGATCTTTTGGTTCGACCAACCACCAATGTTCGGTTACAAAACCAAAACACTTTTTTCGATCTATCGGCAAGGCCCGATCAACCAGTCATATGCATGTTACTTGTGTTCACAATCTCACTTGTGCACGACACTCATATGTCTTTCTTGAGTCGCTGCTTCTTGCACATTCACTACGACACTCATGTCTTCTTCGGAGATGACCCTCCTATCAAGCCTTCCTAATGTACAATTTTCTCTAGCGAGAATTGCACCACTTTGCTACACGTTGTGTGCTCAATTTGGATCACACCTAGAGCATTAAACCCCTTGAATGCACAATGTGTGCTCACAAGTTTTTCATCTGCATGTGCATTGCCTTCAGTGTCTTAATAGCAATTTAGACTCGTCAGTGAGTGATGTTGTGTTGATTGTGAAGCTTTAAAGAGCATTGCTTGTCGAGTGAATCAAGATGAGCAATACGAGTTACTGCCTCGGGATCAACACAAGTATGGTTGTGTTAAGGATTCAATGGATATAACTGGTGTCACCTTGTATGCCACGAGTCTACATATAATGACCCTATTTAAAAAATAAAAATATATATATACACGTATATATGTTTTCCTTAATTATGGTATCCACTATTAAATTCATACATACCTGGAGATTTTATTCTAAGCACTAAATGTTGTTTAGAACAAATTCCATTTGATGGTGTGTTAGGGTAGGATTAGAGTGTTAGGTAGTCTTTTTCGATGTTTGGTTATTGTTCTTAGCTGGTTCAATTGCCCTAGCCAGACATCATTTTTGCTTGTGCTTTTGTGTGTATAATGAGTGTGGACATGCACAATAGTATATTAGAGGTGGTTTTCATGTAGGGGATTGTGCCTAAACATACACACATAAGCCTAATAAGGGATGAGCAAAGTTATGATTTTATACTAACTCTTTCCTGCAGGATGAGCTATAAGCTCCTCCCGTCATGCATAGCTCATAGGCATTGCACGACATAACCCATGATAACATTTTCTGCAGGTCGATGCCTTTATTTTTCTTTTATCATGTATTTGATAGAGAGTTGGGATCGAGTTTGTATTGGAAATAACTAGTACCGGTTTTGAGGTGAATGATACGTAAAACCACGCGACGGGGACCGAGAGCAGCAACTCGTCTCTCATACCTTAATTTCAAATTTATATTCTTGTATAGAATAAGAAGCAGACATGTATATGCGGAGTTCAATCAATTTTATTATTTTCTTGGGAAATGTTGCTGACTCAGCAACGCTGATCTATTCTTATATTTTGATTAACTTTTGTTTCATAACTACATTATTTTCGTGTTTCTTACTGTTGACTATTTGTCTAAGATTGATCATAAAAAATAATCTAGGCTTACTAAGGGCCCTAAAATTTTAAACTTTTCATATAATGTTAATAATAAAAGGTTAAAATTAATTAAAATTTAGGGTTAAAATATTTTGGATTTTTCAAAACCCCGCACTTTATTTTTCTACGTGGCTTTCGGGCTAGTTTTAAAATGGGTGGACATGTCGTAGAGGCAGTGGCCCATAGAAATGGGTGTGTCGTAGAGGCAATGACTCAAAAGGGTCAAATGTGCACATGGTGTAGTGACTCGGAAGTGGGCATGTCATGGATGCATCGACCCAAGTGATGGGTATGACATGGAGATAGAGGCCCAAAAAAATGGGTGTGTGTTTAAGATAGTGACTCGGAAGGGAGTCAATGTTTTGAAAGATGGGTGTGTCGTGGAGGCAGTGACTCAGAAGGCTGGGCGTACCATGGAGGTAGTGACCCGAAGAATGGATGTGTAATGGAGGTGATGAACTAAAAAGTTGGGCTGTCATGGAGGCATTGGCCCAAAAAATTGGTGTCATGGAGGCACTAATCCAAAAGAGTGGGTGTGTCCTAAAGGCAGTGGTGGAGACAGTGACCAGAGTGTGAGTGTTATGGAAGCAACAACCCGATAGATGGGTATACCATGGAGGTGGTGACCCAAAAGGGTGGGCGTGTCATAGAGGAAATAACCCAAAATATGGTTGTACCATGTAGGTAGTGACCCGAAAGATGGCCTACGACAATCCAATGCAGCGTCATAAGAAGAGAAGACTAGGTAATTCTGAGCATGAAGAATTAAACATCGAGTAGGC